TATCTATCTATCTATCTATCTATCTATCTATCTATCTATCTATCTATATATTTATCACAAGAAAAGGAAAATGAACAGATAGGCCAAAGATTAAGCAGAACCACAAAGAGAAAATAAACATAAAAATACAAAAAAAATATGAACAGGGAGCAGAAAAACATGTTAAAGTAGAGTAAAATAGTCTTTAAAAAAAACTTTGGGAATAGGCAGAGAAATAGGAATGTAAATTGTTATACTTTTTTTGAGACAGATTTCTCTATGTAGCCTTGGCTGTCCTGGACTCTCTCTGTAGCCCAGGTTGGCCTTGAACTCATAGAGCTCCCCCTGCCTCTGCCTCCTGTGTGCTGGGATCACAGCATGCACCACCACGCCCGGCTTAAATTTTTATCCTCTTGAGGGCCAAGAAACTGTCAAGATTTAAAACATCAAACCACAATAATCTCTGACCTAGAAACTCCAGTCTGGGGAGTCCTCCTGCAGTAAGAGATCCGGGATTCTATGTCACGGTGCCAACTGTACCATTTACAAAGGCTGAAGACTGAAAATCACCTCAGTGTTCCCAACAGACATGACACCATTCACCAACCACCACCGCAGCCGTGACTGGCGTGTGCACCATCACAAGCCTATTCTGCAAGAAGTCCTCCTGTGCCAAGCCGAGGGACACAACAGGACAGATTTAAGTGGTAGAAAGACTATCAAAATAATGGGCAAATCATGAGCACGGCTTTAGCAATAACTAAGAACCTCACTCGTGTGCACCCTCCACCTAGGCTCAGTTTGGTGCAGGTGGAATCGGGGTAAGTTACCACCGGGGTTCTCAGGAAGGGGGGACAGCCGTGCAGGGAACAGCTCGCATCCTTTACACAGCATGGGGTGGCGTCAGCAACAGGAAGCGTAAAAGTAAGATTTTAGTCAGTGTTTAGTAAAGGTACTGACAACCAGGCACTTTCACAGCCTAAGTGCCCACAAAAACACAGCTGTTAAAAAATTACTCCAAGACTGTGTAATTGAGACACTTCAGAGTGGCAGAACACAGCCCTGCTCTGAAAATAGCCCCGGGTCGGTCTGGGAAGTGCGGCTCAGGAGGCTTCCTTCAAACAGCGCTGCTCCATCCTGGCCACGGCCTGCTTTCTATTTTAGGTTCAGCAGAGACAGGGATGTGAGGAAAATGGACAAGAGCAGAGCGACCCTCCCTAGAAACTGCCACTTGCAACAAGTCAGGGAAGAGAAGGACCCAGCCAAAACACATCTACCCCCCCAAAGCAGGAAATGCTAACCCCAGCCACCAACAGCACGCCTTTCCCATGCCTCCTTCATCTTCAGTAGTTACGGCCCATGCGGTCAAGTTTCCAGACAGTGGTGCAGCGCAAGTGCTTTTTGAGACAAAACAATCTGAAGTGGAAAATCTATGGCCAGTTTTATTTCACAGGTATACTATACTATACTATAGTATAGTATAGTATACTATACTATTCCTATACTATAGGAAAAACATTTAACTATGAGTTGTTTAGAAAAAATGAGATAGAACACCCAAACCCCTGAGGCCAGGATGTGTAACTTTTAAAATGCTTTTGTGTATATGGGTAGTTTTCCTGTATGCATGTCTGCAAACCTGGGCATGCCTGGTACCCATGGGGGCCAGAAGACGGCGTCGATCCTGTGGACCTAGAGACACAGATCCTGTGAGCTACCATGCAGGCGTTAGGAACCAAACCAAGCTCCTCTGGAAAAGTAGCTCCTAACCACTAGCCACCTCTCCAGCCCCCGGACTATTCGCTGCTTAATTTAAAGGCTACCACGACACATCTGCTGTCTCTGTGACATTTTACCCGCGATGCAAGCCAGGCTAGAGCAGGCTAGAATTAGAAGGTTTAGCCACCAATTCTCCTGTGTAATAATGGCACAGCTTTCTGGTTTGGGACTTGGGGAAGGAAGTGTTTGTTACAAACTTGGCTTCCAAACTCCTATAAAAATGTGTCCAGGAAACCACACGGGTTCCCACAAGCCCTGATGACCACGGCCCATCCCTCACCAGCCTCAGCGAGACTGTAAGGTGGCAGATACCACACTCTGCCCTGTATTTAGCTGTGGAAAATTTATATGGATAGAAAACTCCTTGATTTAAAATGATAAATAAACTGAATGGAACAGCTGGAGCCAATGAAACTGTCTCTTCCTCAGAAGACAAGGAGACAGCGAGCTGCTGTTTGCCCAACACAGAGGAAATCCATTGAGAGGGTTGAAGGTTTTCTTCCTATTACCTTCACACAAGAGGGGAACGCACCCTCCGTGTCATCTAGCATCCAAGCAAGCAGAGAGAGCACCACAGTGACCTCAGAAGAAACCCATTCTCTGGCTCACAGAGGGTTTGTAAGTACAAACACTTACAGGACCGTGGCTGTGTGTTCTGCCACATCTACTAAAACAGTTTTAGGGTAGATTCTACATGTCCTTGATATGACACAGTACAACACCCAGAACTCCAGGTACAAGGAAATAAAGAAGGCATCCAGAACATACAAGTGACCCTGAAAATCCAGGTCTGCTTCACATACTTCACGAGCTCAGGCCATAATATTCCAGAATGAAACACCAGTTATTTTGCATTGAAACTACTTCCTGTCAGGCACATCCTGTTTGGCTAAGTCTCGGTCACAGTGGAAAACAGGGGCTGTAGCAACAGGATGAGAGAGACAATGGCTAGCCGTCCGGATGCGGCCACTAGGCGACACCTCCAGCTGCTCTCTGCTCGCCTGGATCCCCAACCTTCAGTGGGCCTGAGCTGCCATCAGAGCGCTCCTGGCCTCTGCTACTGTGGCCTCCTCACACCCTGAGTAAACTCCCCTCTGTTCCTGATCCCTCCCAGCCCCGCCTCATCTGACTGTGTAATCCCCGAAGTCCTCCTGGAAACAGGATGTCCACTTGTAGCCCATGCCCATGCTTTCTCCACAAGTACAGACGAGCTGGGGCCAGGCACAGGTGACCACACAGCGACCAGGCACAGGCGTGCGCCTCCACTTAGGGCCTGGTCCCTCCCACTGCACACGTGTAGGCCGCCAGAATGCACATGTGACCAGCAGAGCCACGCGTCTAACAGTCCTCATACCAACACCCTGACAGGATGACAACATGGTTTTTTCCTTTTTACCTTTGAAAAATTATATTGGCCAGGTAGCAGGAGAGAAAAGTAAACTTCCTATTCTTAATAGGGAAAAAAAATAGAGTTTTGGTTGGTTTTGCTTTGCTTTGTTTAAGATAGACTCTTGCTATGCTCCACGCTGACCTTGAGCTTTCACTCTTCCTACGTGAACCTCCGGTGACGGTTTGAAAATACAAAAGTTAAATAACCAACACTGGGCTCCAATACCCTGAGCTTTGTCTGAGGAAACCATTCTGTTCACTGAGTATGCCTAGCAAGTCCCTTTCTGATTTCCAGAGTGCAACAATGCGCTGCTTCAATAAATACCAGTCAGGCCAGGCCAAACACACCGCTGCAGGAACCTCAGGGAACGTTTGAGTGCCCAGAGGCCAAGAAGCACATACGGCCCTCAAACCATGCCCAGGCTCCTAACAAGACGGGGCAGGAGTGCGGCTCAGTGAGAGAGCACTGCGCTACTAGTGCAAGGCCCTGAGTTTCAGATACACACACACACACACACACACACACACACACACACACACACACACAC